AGGAAAGTAATTAAGAATGAGTAAAAGAAAGCAGTCCTACTGAAAACGAATGATATGTTTACGCCAAGAGATGCTAAAAGTAAGAAGGGAATGTCTCAGGAGCCCAAAATCAATTCTAATAACAAACTGTAACAAACGCAACCGATTTCTATTTTATGAAACATTTGGCTTTCCAATTTTCAAATATGAAATTAGCAACACAGGTCATAACTCTATGATGAAAAAGAATGTAAAATTATTTTCTATTATTACAGGGGCTAAAATGGAATATTTCACGAGAAGTGAATATTTGTTCAAATACTCATACAAACTGAGGATAACAGTAGCTTTCTAAACAATTCAATTTTCTTCCTATCATTTTCTCCCTGAAATAATTTTTAAAAGTTTTTATTATTGTGTAAATCCAGCGTTCCGTTCAGACATGATTTTAAAAACTAAGTACTTATGTATCATCTACTTTAGTTGAAACGTTAACTAAAAAATTTTCAGTGTGTACTAACAATGCAAGATATAAACAGAGAAATATGCTTTCAAGATGCAAGTAATTATGTACAAACAGAACTTGAAGAACTAGGTTTCAGTAAATATGAAAAATATGCTTTGGAAATGTAGTTATGATTAAGAAGAAAGTATGCAAATTGGATGCGAGTACAGAATTTTTATGCCATTGAAACCATGAGGTAGTTCTATTGTACTCATTCAAGGTCAAATCCTTCCTAGGGTTTGTGTGATGCAATTATGCAATTTTGTATGGAGCTGAGTAACTGAAAATATGCAGAAAAAATGATGTGAAGGTAAAGAATTAGGAAATAAGATAGGTAAGAACTGACAAATTCCAGTGTACATCTTAAAGAACAATTTGAGAAGTCCCACAGTGGTTTGTAAGTGCATGCAGAGTTATTTTATAGTCAGTGGCTCTCAAAGGGTGGTCTCCAGCAGCTTCAGCATCACCTGAAAACTTAAGAGAAATGCAAATTCTCAGGTTCCACCTCAGTCCTACAGAAACAGAAACTCTAAGGCTAGGGTCCATCTGTGTTTTACCAAGGCCTTCAGGAGATTCTAATACACTGTAGTTTAAGAATCATTGTTAAAGATTATGGAGACCTATGAAAAAGACTAACTGGGTGGGTGTGGGAGTGGGGAATAGAATTAACCTTTAAGAAGAATTGAAGTTAGATAGAAAGACTATTCTATGAGTATAGGTTTTTAGATCATTAAAATGGATTGCTAAGGGAGCCTGCTCATGATAAATTAGTCTCTCACAGAAGAGCTTTAAAACTAAGCCATTTCTATTTGATTGGAACAGAATAATGTAGTCTAGCCTGAAAATAAGCATAAGGAATGAAGAACCTCTCAAGGTTTTTCATCCTACAATTCAGGGCTCCTCTGCACTTTTTTAGAAAACTTATTGTTATATATTTTGTCCAGCAAAGAAAAGTGGCTTCAAAATATAATACGTAAGTGTCCAGTGTGCAGATATAAATTAAGAACGCCACACCATTTTCTCCTAATCCTACTGACAAAATCTACATAAAGTTTCATAGGACTGACTGTTAGTCATTTCTTTCAACACCATTCTGAGGGAACTCGTAGTTACTGAGCATAAAAGAACAGGAAAAAAGTAAAAGTAGTTAACATTCCAGTTTTTTAAAATGGAAATGTTTTTGTTTCTGTTCTTCCTTTTTCAAAATCATAAAATAATGTATCATAGGAGATGAACCAAGAAAACAAGAAACTAAAATGGAAATTTTGCAGTAGGCCCAGGTAATGCAGATCCACTGCAAATTACCCTGGTAATTACGCAATTTACACTGCTTATAGATGGCAAGTATCTTTCAAAACTACCTAAAAGTTATAAATATATGGAAATTTATGCCAAAGCACTAAATTATGTGACTCTAAGCAGATTGTTCCCTTTCTAATTATTTCATCAATAAAAATAGATCATAGATTACTCTTAATTAGTTTCCTAGCTGACTAAAATCATTGAAAGATATCTTTTTTAAAAATTTGTAAGAACTTAGATATAATTTCCAAAGGTAGCTATACATTTTTCAAAGTCATATTCCCACATATGCAAATGATTCTTTGGACAACCTTTTGCTTACTTTGGTTATGTGTTAAGTTGTTTAGTTTTCCTTTTTCTCCCCATGCATATTACTTGATCACCCCAACTTACAGAAAAGCTGTAGAAAACACAAATTCTGGTATCAATGCATTAAAATGAGTTAAAAATCTGGTCCAATTAACAACCCACACCAGAATAATCCCAAATACACAGATCATGGTGGCATTAAATTAAATCTTTCTTGTAAAGAATAAATCAAGTTGATTTATTTTTAAATATAGCTCAGTTAAAAAGCAAGCAAGAGTGATAAAGCCATACTACCTATGATTTTGGTTCACTTGCTATATTAAAAAAGACATCATTTTTAGCCTCTCGGCCAACAGAATCAATGTTATAAAATATTCTAGTACAAATGTCCATATGTGAAAGCAGAAACTTGTGTTTTTTAAGAGCATAATAGAATTTATCACCAATTTAAATGTGAAACTCCTTATAACTTAATTTATAGAACTCATATTGATTCCAATTATCTCTCTAAATATAAAATCTAAAAACATGAATGAAGAAATGAAGAAAAGAGGGGAACTCTCCCATTTAAACATAAACTTGACAAACGTTATTTCCTAATTGTATTTTATTTTAATTACATTTAAATATACTACTGACATACACAGTCTGTGAAAGCATTTGCCAGGATACTCAACTACCATAACAGATTGCCTGGCACATCTTTGAAAAATGCCTCTGCTTTTCTTTAAAAAGCAATAGCATGGAATTTGCTAGTAGGAATTTAAAAAAATAGATATTACACTGTCAAATTTAGGAAACTATACTGCCCTTTACCTCTAAGTGTTAAAATATAATTTAAAATGCTATTCAGCGTTGATAATGGTGGTAAGAAATCAAACCGAAGATATCAAATTTCTATTCAATGAATCTAAACTCTAAACAATTAAGTTAGAGTGGAAATTTAAGACATTAGATAATAAAATTTTGGACTCAGGGAAAAATGATTCGCTGTCTGTGTTAGGGAAAAATGGAAATTATATCCCTTGTTGCATTCAAAAAATGCAAAATCTACTTAGGAATCTTATTCAAAAATACAGACTATAATGCAATAGCACAATGGGTTAAAAAAAGAGTTAGCTACAAAATATCAATTCCCACATAATCAGTCCCAATTCTCATACTCAAAAAACAAAAGAAAACAAAACAAACAAAGCAAAACTTTGAAAGTTTTCCTAAAGTGCAGGTGCAAAAATTTTGCCAGCTGAGTCTAAAATAGAATTCGTAGTATTCTGAAACAACTACTATGACTCTGCCAGGCCCACTTGCTCAGGTTTGGTAAGTAAACAATTCTTCCCTCAAAAATCTATACAAACACAACTGTGAACCTCAAGAATTCCATGGTCACTAGGTTATGCAATTAACCTGTCCAAATGAAACTTAAATTAGAGTTTATACATTAATAATCTAATGGAAAATATCAAAGAAAACTAGATCAAGAATATGTTTGTTAATTGCAGCTATCCTAGGAAAGCTATTATAATAAAATATAGTACTTTATTTTCTATGAGGTACCTTGTTCACTGCAGAAATATGACCCAGGAAAACTTTTGGTAAATATTTTATATTATGAACTGGAGGTAATCACTGATTACTTTATGTAATAATTTTGATCTATTATTACTGATAAATCCAAAACATACCTATTATCCATGCAGGCCTGTTTGAGATAAAAATTCACCTAACATCAAACCACTTGCATAGTACCAAGAGAGGTACTGGAAAGCCACTAAACATAACACTCCCTTTCCATCCCTCAAAAATTTCCTATAGCTGTAACTTACTTGTGATAGTATTATAATGTGTTATATGTATGTAACAAGTATTACCATGTTAATATGCATTGTGATATAGTAATAACTTTGTATGTTTTCTTCCAACTTTCCTTCAATTTTCTTCCCCCAAATAACAAACAATTAGCAAGATTGTGTTAAACCCATTAATTAGTGTTTATGATAAAACTATAACCGAATGTGGTTATGCCCATTCTGGCATCTTTGCAAGATTCTTAGAACACATGGGACTGGAACAGAGTTCCACTGGATAGTGGAAAATAAGAACAGCCTTGTTTTGATTCAATGTAGGTACTTCCTTTTGCCTTGAGTCTTCAGTGTCCATCTACACAATCACCCTAAATTTGGACATTTAAATCTGTAGTATTTATTTAAAACCTGAATTGTGCATTCAAATATATAAAGGCAACGTGCCTATATGTTTGAACATGATATACATCTATGAAAAACTTTGTTCATACCTATGTATAAAAGTATTTATACATCTAGTCATCTAAAATTATGTAGTATATAATTTGACTATATATACACATTATATATATATTCTGGATGACAGCTATTGTTTATTTTAGTCCAGAAAATATCTGAGAGAAATATGAGTTGATCTATAATATGTTATGAAGTTAATCTGATCTAATTAAATGGTTACCAAAACATTTAATAGCAATTCAGTGGCAAAGTGTTGACTCCTCCCACCCCTCAGAAACAACATTCCTGTAGTTATAATATAAAGTTAACATTGTTACAGAACCGGATTAGGAAAGAGTTGGAGATTCAGGGGTGAAAAATATGTAGTTAAAGTACATCAATTGGTTTTGATTAGCTCTTATTCTTTAACTTCTCTACCAGTCAAGAAAAAAAAAAATCAGCAGAGCTTGTGGTCCCTCAAATTATAGATATGCAAACAATAAACCTGGCCTCAGCACAATTTTTCAAACAATATTGGGTCCAGGTTGTTTCAGAGTCAAAAGCAGAATGATAAATAATTTAAACCCAAATGCTGGATTCATTCTAACTAATTTGTCGGTTCAATTAGAAAATGATGAGTACAAAAATAGAAGAGACAGACTTACGCTGTGGAGACACGGCATCCCTTTTTGCAAGAATGAAAGCTCTCATCTGTGTTCTTCACGCAACTGAGCTAACATAATTACGCCCTAGAACAACAGGCAGCAACCTAAAGTAAAGGCTCCATCTTACTGACCAAATTCAAGATGCTATAACCAAATCTTGTTTTACTCATCATGTGTTGTTAAGGATTTTCAAATTTATGATTTTTTTTTTCAGCATTCCTGGAGAGCTAATGATGGGAAATAATACCCTTCTTTATTAGGTCAACTGTTTTGGAGGGCAAGAAACATTTGTTAAGCATAGTGAACCATAAACTATTATTATAAGTTCCATTTCATAATGGTTTATTCTTATACAGCAAAGTATTCCAATTCTAATTCCAAACACTAATATGCAAGACAACCAAGGAGCCTTTCTAAATTTCCTGGTGGTTAATGTTAATCCTGAGTCAAAGCAAAGAAGAATGTCACACAATTGTTTTGAAAGAGTTTTTCAGGCTTTGCCTTAGTAATTAATAAGCTGACACTGCATACTAAATACTTATCAACGCTAATCAATGGAGCTGCTTCTTTCTTGAGAAAATAGGTAAACCGATTCAAGGAGTTTTCTTTTGGATTAGACTGTAATATACCACAAATATAGTGATTCTTCTGGAGAATTTCATTCCTAGCAGTTTCATCTTGGTAACATTTAACAATTTCACTATTTTAACATTTTGAAATGCCAAAAAGAACACACTGATCCTGCAGCTAGGCTTATTAGAGAAGAACAATCTCACAGGCAAGACAGGGAGGCACACAGTCCACTGGGAAAAGGGTAACAGAAAAAGACAGAAAACAGTGGATAGCAAACAAAGCCAAGCACTACTCCAACATGAGACTGAATTTTCACCAGAATGGAAAACTTCACACACTAAATTAAATGTTATCACCTATGGTTTATTGAAGGGACTAAGCATAACAGTCTTTATATAGAGAGAGTACATATACTGATGCTATCTGTTAAAACTAGGGGGAGGTGTATGATTATTTAATTTGCCTGCCTAACAACGAGTATGCAAGCATAGTCATTTTATTTTTGAAAGGTCGAAACTGAGCATTTCCCCACTGTGGCATCATTTTACCCCTATGGAGACTTAGGAACACAATGAGACCTCTCCCCATCAGACAGTTGATACATACCTCAGCCAAGACTTCTCCTCATCTGAAGTGGAGACATCTTTGGAACAGAGAGAGTCCTTTTATAGTAAGTTCTTTTGATAACCTAAAATGGATTAGTTTTTAAAAAACCATGTCCATCCTCAAGCTTCTTGCCCAACTATGGTAACTGCTGTTGTGGCTACAAATAACTGCCTGCAGTATAAAACGTTTAAAATTCTGGAGGTGCGTGGATACTGTTCATGTATGGATATAATCAGAAAATAATTTGTCTCACTTGAGAAACTATACTTGGCCTTTTATTTTGATAAAATTTCTCTAAACTGAGTTACAGAGGGGGGAAGGGGAGGAGTAACAGGGAAAAAAGGGACTGAGAAAAATCAATCGGTGTATCTTCCCTTGCAAACTGTCAGTAGAGTGGGATTAGGAAAGCAACACTTTAAATCAGATAAAGTCCTAGGGGAACCTTAAAGGTTGGTTGCTCTGAGCTTCTCAATATTCTGCAAAAAGGATTGATGGCAGTGGTCACCCCACTGATACTCAATGTCCACTCAGTTTCCGCAAAGAAATTGCATTTCCCCATTGTTCAAAAGATATTAACTTGGTAATAAAAATGAGAAGTTATGGGACCCATAGAGATATCTTTCACCACCTTTAAAACCAGTAAATCTGTTCTAATCTCTTATTGGATTAAATGCCCAAGGACGTTTAATATATAAAGAAATCAACAACAAAGGCAAGAGTAGCACTTATTTGGAAAAAAAAAAAAAAGACAAAATGATTAATAGCTAACTACATTTTTTTCCTCATCTATTTAAAACTAAAATTGGAAACATGCGTGTGCCTTTTAAACTGTCAAATGACCAAATGACAGTTTCTTATGTCTATCACAGCAAACACATTTGCATTCAGGAAGTGATCCATTTGTGACTGTGAGCCTTAGCAATAAATGTCTTTTAAAAACACATCGACTTTATTTTTCTCAGCTAATGGCTAGTCCTGAGTTAAATGGTTCTATCAACATACAAATGCAGATATTAGTTATACACTCATTTATTTTTCCTCAAAGGAGAGTGGTTCCTGTAGCTATATTTTTCTATATCAAGTTTATTTCTTGACATACATTTTTTTACATGACATTAAATATTTTACTTTAGACAGTTTCAAGGTCTGATGCAGAGATCCATGTATTTCTCTGGGAAGACTTAATTGCTGATAAGGTTTATAGCTATTAAGCACCAACTCAAGCGCCTGTTTTTCAAACACGCACAGTTACACATTTTCCACAAACAGACATCGGTGCATACAGAGAGCCAGGTGCACACATATTCAGTGACTAGTAAATGGTAGAAACCTCCAGAAGTAGGACAGACCACACAGTTAACAGGCTGGGGCTACACAGCTAAGTAAACATCAACGCATGATTCGCTCACACGGAATAAGAACTCCACGATGGACACTTGGGGACCACACTGGTCAGTACCCGAGCGGGCGGGAGATGGAAAAAGTATTTCCAAACGCAAGTCGGCCAGGTCTTACCCTTCGCATCCCCTGGTCCTCGGGGGAGAAGCTCCCTTAGCACCTCTCGCCAAGCGCAGGGGCTGCTTCTCTGCTAGAACGAAACGTCCCCCTTGACTCCACGGATAGCTCTGCAGGGAGCCGTGGCGCCCCGCCCGGGCCAGGGGAAGGCACTGGCGCCGCGGGAGCCTAGAAGAGGCGGAGGCGGAAAAGAAGTGGAGAAAGAAGGGGTGGCAGCAGGAGTAGCGGGAGGGAGGCGGCGCCGGTGCTGGAATCCCGGCGAGACGGGGTGGGGTGTAGCGGGGTGTGCCTCCGTCCGTCGGTCAGTATGTCAGTCGGTCCGCGCTACTAGCGCGCTGGTGTCCCTTCCCTGCAGCGCCCGCCCGCGAGAAGGACTGGGACTAGCGCCCCCTCCGCTCCCGCCGCCCGCGAGCCTCGCCCCTTCCCAGGCTCTTCAGTGGGTCCTCCCGCTTGCCCCGCCTGGCCCGGCGTGGGGCCGCCCGTCTCTGCCTGCCAGGGCACCCGCTGCCTTTCCCAGCTCGCGCAGTCCCTGCCTCTGCCTCCGCTCGCGCTCTGTCTCTGGCTCCCTCTCGCTCCAGTCCCATTTATGAAGCGCGGTCCCATCACGTGTTAATGAGCCTTTGTCCTGCCCTGGCAGCAGCGGCGGCACAGACCCCGCCGAGGGAACTGCGCGGGGAGGGACCTGCGCGCTGCGGAGCGCGGCGCCCGAGGCTTCAAACTTTGCTGGCGCTGGGGACCCGCCTCGGCGCAGGCCCCGGGGCCAGAGGGAACGAGTTACTCCGGTTCGCGTCATCTACTTCTCTTCCTCCTCTTCCTCCTCCGCTGCTGCGGTCCCGGCACCCCCACCCTCACCCTCCGCAACAGCCATGACCTATCTCTCCTCCTGGATACCCTCACGCCCTGGACAAGCCAAGTGGAGGCTCGTGCCTGCGCCGCCCCCGACCTCGAGGCCATTAATCACGCGCACCCTGGCTGAACGCATCACTGACACCTTGCGCGGAGGTCACATCTGGGGCAGTGGCGCTGAGTCGGAGGGGAAAGGGGAACGACAGGAGAGAGGCAGAGGAGGCCCGGGCCTGGGGGTGCGGCCTCGAGTCCCATATCCCTTCCCGGGGCCGCCCCCGCGGCGGGCAGCATTGAGTCGAGCCTGGACGAAACCTTGGGACCATGTCGCGCAGCCCTCGAGCGGTTTGCTACCTGGCGGCGGCCGCGGAGCCACCTGTCCTCCACCCTCAGGGCACCGCCTGGCTTCGCGCCGGGTCCCTTCTCCAGGCACCGTCCCCGCCCGCCGCGGACCACTGGGACGCGCCCCACCCGCCCGGCCCCGGCTGCAAACAGTTGGGCTATGTAGGCGGCTGGCTCTGCGCCTTCCTGCCTGGCGCGCCCCCTCCCAGCCGCCCTGGGGCCCCGCTCCTCGCACCTTCTCTCTGGAGGAGGATGACCCCCTCCAGCGCCGGGAGGTGGGACGCGCGGGGCTCCGGGGCAGCCGCCGTAGGCGCCTGGGGATCCGCGGTGCGCCCGGCGGCCGGGGCAAAAATTAGGGGACATGCTCGTTAATTGGTTCCACTATCAGCCGCCGTCTGCTTCCCGTGTGCACGGATCAAACCTTAATTGGCCTTTACATTTATCACGGTGAATTGCGAACCTACAAACAAGCCCCAGACGCTGCTTCAGCAGAAAACGCGCCCCCTCACTCCCCCCGGGTCCAGGCAAGGTTGTGGCGGCAGCGGTCGTGGTTATTTAGACATCTTTATTCCCTCCTGAGTTGGGTCGAGAGAGGGCTACATGGTTTCCACCTGATGAAGCCACGTCACTTTGGCCCCTAGAGCCCCGCGGAAGGCACTTCGTTCGGTTCCCAGCTCTCCTCTCCATGGCCACCTTGGCGTTCGTTTTATGACACCTCGCCAGATAACCGGCAAATTCTGCCCCAGTCCTTATACCGCACCCCCTTCAGTACCGATCTCCACTCTCCTCTCTCCTAAGCCCAGAGCTCAACAGCAATTGTAACAGATCTGGTCCCCATTTTTGAACTACGTGCTGAGGATCCTGAAAAACGAGCTACTCAAGGAAGAGTGGAAATTGATGAGGAGGAAGCCCATGGTTGGTGGGTACAGAGCTCCGGCGGAGGGAAGGCTGTAAGTGCCTTTTGGAGACATCAGACCAAATCATAGAAAGGCTTCTTGCAGAGCGCTACTTCCGTCTTTGAAAGTCCTCCTAGACTGCTTTAGGTTAGAAAAAGTAATTCCCATTTTCCCATCAGAGAAATGGCCATTGGAGATAGAGTCCACAGCTGAAATCATCATTTATATCAGGTAGGTAGATGGAGTAGGTTATAAATAAAGGTCTTATAGACCCTCAACAGATGGAAGAA